GCACATCCTATTTGATTAACTCTCCCCCAAAGTTTTAAGTAGAACCAGAAAATGCAAAAGCAATTCAGAACTTAGTCAGAAAGAGACTGTTTGTGTTCACCCAGGATTCTTAACCTGGTTACTGAATGAATCCATTTTCTAGGTTGCACAGAATATTTTATTGTAAACTAAATAGGCTAGCTTTATGCAAGATGTTAAACTATTGACCGATATAAGCCCCACGTCAAAATTAGAGTTAACTAAATTTATGAAAATTTCTTGACAGTTAGAACAATTAATCAGTAGAATAACTTGCCTGCAGAAGTTATAAATGTTCCAACACTGGAGGTTTTAAAGAAGAGATTGGATAACCATTTGTTTGAAATGGCATAGGGTTTCCTGCCTAAGCAGGAGGTTGGACTAGAAGACCTCCAAGGTCCCTTCCAACTATTCTATTCTATTCTATTCTATTCTATTCTATTCTATTCTATTCTATTCTATTCTATTCTATTCTATTCTATTCTAAAATGCTGCTGCAGTGTTTAACTTCATTTCATTAGGCAGCTTGTGCCTCTGATACCCACCTTTGCAATGCTAGACATATAGAACATTTGATCATACATTCGAACATTGAAAATACTGTCTGTAAGAAAGGGGCACAGATAGTGGCTATTAGTGAAGCAGGTGTTATACCTACAATAGTAAGGAAATTTATTTACAGCTGGACCTCATCCAGCAATTGCTTGGACATAACTGCTTGCGGTTATAGCTGTGATTCATAAACTTCAGAGCACTTTTCTTAGTTATGAGTCATCAGTTAGTACATGTTGCCCAGTGCTTGACCCATTTTTATTATTATTTTTCTCCCCCTGGCAGAGAGGAGAGATTGCCTAAACAAGCAATCTATTCCTGAACTGCTTTTCTCTATACTTAGCACTTCCCTAAAAGTATGAGCTGCAAATTAACAAGCTCAGCTCTGCAACCTTCATTAATTGATTAGAAACCTCCTCTGTCTCTTGCTACTGCCTGACACTGACAAGATTCTAATCAGTTTTACACTAATCAGGGTTTTTTTTTGGTATGTAAACAGGAGGTTACCACCACATTACTTTAGTTGTGTCCCCTCCCATGTCTACTTGCTCTCTTGTAAACCCTTCCTCTCCATGAATATAAATGCAAACATTAATTATCTTCTTGCTAACTAACCAGTGTTTGGGTGAGCATCTAAAGGGTGGGGAAATGAAGGGAAAGTGCTATAAGAATTATTCTTTAACTCATTTTTCACGGGAGTCAAATTCTGAAAACCTTCTCTATTTATCGCCCCTGTGGTCAGTAGGTCATGAAGTACTAAAACAGGGGTGTCAAACTCTCGATGACATGTTGTCGTCATGTGATGTATCACAACTTTCCCCCCTTCACTAAAACAGGGTGGGCGTGGCCAGCGTGTGACACATCTGGCCCATGGGCCGCGAGTTTCACACCGTTGTGCTAAAGAGTTTAGCAATTAACTAGTATCCTGCCCTAATTTTTTAAAATGGCATTTTATTCTATATATTTACTATATTCTGTTAAATGATTGCTGTTATTTGCTTTGAGCATCATTTGGCTCCAATGGTCAGTCCTATCGGCTTCATTAATATACACAGTTCAAAATAATATTTTATATCTTGGAAAAGTTGGAGAAGTGAAGGCCAGATATCACTGCCTTTCAGAAAACTAGGATCAAACTGGCTAAGGAACTATGGTGGTGCAGAGGGTAGAATGCAGTATTGCAGGCTAATTCTACCCACAGCCAGGACTTCGATCCTGACCAGCTCAAGGTTGGCTCAGCCTTCCATCCTTTTGAGGTCATTGAATGAGGGCCTAGATTGTTGGGAGGAAATGCTGACATTGTAAATCACTGAGAGAGTGCTATAAAGGAGTGGTGTAAAAGTCTAATTCCTATTGCTATTGCTAAACTCTACCTTAATTAGTTATGGACCTATGTACAGCAAAGGTCTCCAGAAAAATCCTGCATTTCTATTTCTCCAGGATGTGGTGAGACTTCTTTTAAGGCATTTTCAACCTATGGGACACACTCCTTGCAAACCAAACCAAATTGGTTCCTTTCCTTCTCTCTACCTTCAGTCAACAAGTTAAGACTGACAAACCATTTGAACTGTTTTTATGATAATACTTTTACGGTTTGGTGCAATGTGTGGAGTGGACCCAGTCAGCGCAAGAGTTTCAAATGTTCAACTAGAAACCTAGTTTAATAAGAACAGAATCACACACAGTAGATCATTTTCATGACAGAAGAGAACAGCCTTGACATGGACTGACATGCTTAAAAGGTGCAATTAACTGGTATCCTGCCCCAATTGTTTTTAATGGCATTTTATTCTACTGTTTATATATTTACTATGTTCTGCGAAATGATAGCTGTTAATTGCTTTGAGCATCATTCAACTTGAAAAATAGGATGCAAAGGTGAGCTATCAAATTAAGCAATAGGATATATCAGAGGTGGTATTAAGCGGGTTCTGACCAGTTCTGGTAGTGGAAATTTTGAGTGGTTCAGAGAACTGGCAAATACCACCTCTGACTGGCCCCGCCCCCATCTATTCTCTCCCTCCTGAGTCCCAGCTGATTGGCTGGATTTTCTTTGGTTGCCCTGCACAGGAGGACGGAGCTGGAAAGCAGGTTAGTGGGGTAGGGAGGGAATAGGATTTTGCAGTACCCTTCCCCTGCCACACCCACCAAGCCACCCCCACCAAGCCATGCCCACAGAACTGGTAGTAAAAAAAAATTGAATCCCACCACTGGGATATATAGTAAAAGTCCAAGTAGCATAAATCATGGATGGTATTTCAGAAGTGTAACTTGGAAATATCTCTGTATCCCTGTTTTCAGCATGAACAAGGAAATTTACAGGGGCCTGGAGTGTGTCATCACTTCCGCCTAAGCATAGCTTCCTGAATGGAAGAGCAGATGATGTCGCCTCCATCATCCCACTCATCAAAAATGCTCCCAGCCTGTGTTTTCTGACTGCGATTCAACTTTTCCAACCAGATCTACCTGATGCCCTTCAAAGTGGATCTTTTCTGGCACTTTCTTCCAATTCAATTAAGCCGCAATTGGCTACCGGGCTTGGTATACTTTCTCCCCTCTAGTGGCACCTGTTCCACACAAGATCAACATCAAAGGTCCATCTCTCTTGCACCTTCGTGCACATAAAAAAAGGAGAGGGGGGTTCAGTTGTGATGCCACACCTGCCATCTTGCTGATTTTAGAAGAGAAGAGAAGAGGGGAGAGGAGAGGAGAGGAGAGGAGAGGAGAGAAGAGAAGAGAAGAGGAGAAGAGAAGAGAAGAGAACAGGGAATAGAAGAGAAGAGAAGAGAAGAGAAGAGAAGAGGGGAGAGGAGAGGAGAGAAGAGAAGAGAAGAGAAGAGAAGAGAAGAGAAGAGAAGAGTTGGAAGGGACCTTGGAGGTCTTCTAGTCCAACCCCCTTCCTAGGCAGGAAACCCTACACCACTTCAGACAAGTGGTTATCTTTTTTAAAAAACCCAGTGTTGGAGCATTCATAATTCTGGAAGCAAGTTGTTCCACTGGTTAATTGCTCTAACTGTTGGGAAATTTCTCCTTAGTTCTAAGTTGCTTCTCTCCTTGATTAGTTTCCACCCATTGCTTCTTGTCCTGCCCTCAAGTGCTTTGGAGAATAGCTTGACTCCCTCTTCTTTGTGGCAACCCCTGAGATATTGGAACAGTGCTATGTCACCCCTAGTCCTTCTTTTCACTAGACTAGACATACCCAGTCCCAGTCACCGTTCTTTATATGTTTTAGCCTCCAGTCCCCTAATCATCTTTGTTGCTCTTCTCGGCACTCTTTCTAGAGTCTCAACCTCATTTTTACATCGTGGCGACCAAAACTGGATGCAGTATTCCAAGCGTTTCGACACACCCTGGTGTGTGTCCCATAGAGGGAACCCCTTACGTCCTTCTGTTTTACCTCCAAGACACCTCCTAGGCTCTTTCCCTGTAAAGTGGAGGAATGGGTGGCATGGAGTTAGGCACTGCCAAAGAGAAGAGGTGTGTGTGGATGTCCTTCTCCCCTACACAGATCGTCCTTGAATTACAGCGATTCGTTTGGTGACTATTCAAAGTTACAATGGCAGTGAAAAAAGTAACTTACATACAGGAGTGAGCTTCAAAAATTTTAGCAATGGGTTCTCTGCTTGGTTGCTGGGTGGGTGTGGCCATGGTGGGAGTGGCCTAGTCATCCTCCTGCACCATGGCGGGGGGGGGGGCATTTTTTCCCTCCCCAGGATCTGAAGGCTTTCGTCGAGCCTCCGGGAGGGCAAAAACGGCCTCCCCGGGCTCCGGAGGTTCTCTGGAAGCTGGAAACGGGCCCATTTCCGCCCTTCCTGATCTTCTAGGTGGCCCATTTTATGCCCTCCCTGAGCTTCCACGTGCACCCTGCACTTACTTGCATCCAAAACAGGCCATGTGGGGGAGGGACTCTTGGGAGGGGAGGGGAGGGGTGGGTGGGGCTAGCCAGGGGTGGGATTTGAGGGTTCTCCAAACTGCACAGAATCTTAGCAAGGGCCTCTCCAGAACTCCTCCAAACCCCCAGCAGCCCACCCCTGCTTACAACCAGTCTTCACACTTATGACTATTGCATCGTCTCCAGGATCATGTGATCAATGTTTGGGCACTTGGCAACTAGCATTTGTTTACAATGTTTGCAGCATCCTTGGGTCATGTGTTTGCCATCCAGCTTCTGGAGAGCAACAGCAGAAGCCCGATTCACTTAACAACAGCATAATTCACTTTTACAACCGTAGTGATTCACTTAACAACCATGGCAAAAAAAGTATATAAAATTGGATGCAACTCATGGAACAGCCAACTTGCTTTGCAATGGAAATTCTGGTCTCAGTTCTGTATGATAAGTCAAGGACTACCTGTATTAACACAGAGAGATCCATTCTATACAATGACCCATTGCAGATGAATTTTTTTTTTTTTTGGCAAAGGAAAATGGTCTTTATTCTAGGCCCCCCGGAAACCTTCGCTTAAACTCTCTTCTTGATGAGGCCGGAAGGGGTGGCTTTGTTGTCTGATTGCTGAACTTCAAGGTTTCCTCTGGCCTTTTTAAAAACATTGTGTGTTAATGCCAACTGATCTATGATGACCCTCTCCATGTTTTCCTTGAGTTGGTTGGTGGAATACAAGCGCCTGGCCGTACTGTAGAGCTTCTTCTCCTGTTTGGCCACTTTCCGACGGAGCTTGTAGACCTCGGACTTCAGACTTTCATCCTGAAGCGAGTAAGCAGCAGCATGGACCACTTTCATTGGCAAGGAGACCCTCCAGGGGAGGTTCAAGAGGCGGGCAGCTTCTTCCAGGTTCTGTTGGACCGCCTTGAAGGTGGCAGGCAAACTGCTCAGAGGAACTGTCACTGCAGAATCCAGACCTTCTCCCTCTTTCAGGAGAAGCTCCAGTTTACCCAGTCGCTTCCGCCCTTCTGTGATTTGCTTCCGGAGACAGTTGTAATCTTCGATCAAGCCGAGGATATGTTGGCCATTCTTGTCTGCCCGGACACACTGACTGGATACGGGGCAAATCTCCTTGTTGGTCAACAGGTTGCAATGGGATGAAATTGGTCAACAGGTTGCAGATGAAATTTCCATTAGGTGTAATAACACAAATTGACTGTACTGCCAACCTACACCCTAGCTGAAAGTTCCTAGTCGCCCACAGTAACTTATGGGAAAAGATCTTTTTATTGAAAGAACAGCTTCTTTAATGAAACGCTGACTTGTAATATCTGCTGCAGGATGCAAAAAATGGAGAATGTTCTGTTCACTCCTGTTTGCTTTGGCCTATGTGCCCCCTGCTTAACGGGCTAATTTAATTAACTTCGCAGGTTCTGTATCATTTGCTGGCCTCTCTTTTCTTTTTCCTTTAGACTAGCTGAATTGGTGAAGGCAAGGATACACTTTCAAAGCTTTCCTGTACGAAGATTGTGAAATAAAATACCGCACATTGAACTGCCTCCTGATTCTGGGTACCCTCTCTGTGTGCATTGGATAAAGAACAGGATTGGACTGATTTGTATAATTAAAACATCTGGGTAGGGCAGGATTTCTTCCTTTGGATGGTTCCACCCACTCCTGAGTACATCTTGGCTTTGATGGGGGGAAAGAAAGCAAACATTTTTGTGGAGCTAATAGGAGTCCCAGTTTTCATTTAAAAATGTTTCTGATTCTAAGTCTGTGGGACAAATAAGCAATCCTCAGATGAGGCTTTTGTAAATTGCAAAGGCTTCTGTTTCTCTCCCAAACTAAGAGCTCCTCTCCCTTCCTTGTCTGGATATTTGGGCTTCTTCCTCTGCCTTTGTCTTTTGCATTTCTGCGACATTAGAATATAGAATAACAGAGTTGGAAGGGACCTTGGAGGTCTTCTAGTCCAACCCCCTGCTAAGGCAGGAAACCCTACATTATAAAGCAGGAATATGCAACCTTAGCAATTTTAAGACTTGTGGACTTTAATTGCCAGCATTGCCAGCATGCCAGTTCTGACAGTTGAAGTCACAAAAGTCAGAGGTGGTATTCAGCAGGTTCTGACCAGTTCTGGAGAACCAGTAGTGGAAATTTTGAGTAGTTCAGAGAACCAGCAAATACCACCTCTGACTGGCCCCGCTCCCATCTATTTTCTGCCTCCCGAGTCCCAGTGGATCGGCTGGGTCTTCTTTTGTTGCCCTGCACAGGAGAACAGAGCTGGAAAGCAGGTTAGTGGGTTGGGGAAGAAACTTTAACCTTAGACTGTCTACTATTGACCTCACCCCTTTCCTAAGAGGTCTGTAGGGGGCGTGCATAAGCGCACCAACGTGCCTACCATCCCTGTCCTATTGTTTCTTTTATTTTTTTATTTTTCTTATATGTATCCATGTATTCATAACTATGTTTTTACATATATATATATATATTATCTTGTAAGCAATTGACAAAAATAAATCAATAAAAATAAAAATGATTTTGCGCAGCGCTTTTTAAGCTTGGCAACTTTAAGATGTGCGGACTTCAACTCGTTTCTTTTAACTTTCTGGAAGTCCCTCAAAATCTAGTTGTGTCATCAGGCCTGAGGGCCCTGGGGGACCTGCAAAATATTGAAATGGCTTCAAGTTAATTAAGACCTGCTCTTTGATATGTGTGTGCGTGTGTGTGTGTGTTTGTGTGTGTACATGTACATGTTGGCAGGTATTCGGCAGGCTAAGCATAAGTTCCAAGAACAACCTCTCCTACACCTGAAAAGAAAACTTTTTGATCAGCATGTGCTACCTGTTCTAACATGTACATTGTATATGTATATATGCATATGTGTCTGTGAGTGGGTATGTATTTATATGTATATATTTATCTACATGTGTGTGTGTATACATACATACATACATACATACATACATACATACATACAGACAGACAGATAGATAGATAGATCTTTGGTTATTCAGGTTTTCTCCCACGTAAAATTGGAAGTATCTAGGCGACGTTTCGATGAAGTCTCATTCATCATCTTCAGGCTTGTGTCTTCGGCTTTGTGCTTCTCGGAGTAATGTGAGGTTGCAGCTGCTTCTTCCTTTTAACTGCTAGCGGGGGTGTGACTTGATTGGGTGGGGGCTTGGCTGTGTTCTGATTGGTAGGGGGCTTGGCTGTGTTCTGATTGGCTGGGGGTGTGTTCTGTTCAGGTGGGGGCTTGGTTGTGCTCAGGTTAGTCTTAGTTGCTGGGGGATTTGAGCTGGTGAGCTGTGATCCTGTTGTTTGGCTTCGCGTTCGTGGTCGTGCCACATCTTCATGGTGGGCGTCAGTTCGCTTCATGTATGGGTCGGAGGGGTTTGAAGCGGGTAGTGATGCAGTTGCGGTACGGCTTCTGGTCCGTGGTCGTGTCTCATCTTCTGTGTGGGTGTGAGTCTGCTTTCTACGTGGAAGTGTGGTGGTAGCATCTTGTGTGGCCCTCGTGGGTGTGGGTCTGGTGTCATTCTTCATGTTAGGTACTCGTTTGTTATAACACCATCCAGGGTCAATTGCCTCTGAGATGAGAGGTCATATAAATATGACACAATAAAAATAAACAAATGTTAGAAAGAACTTTACAGAAGACTCTATAGTAGGAATTGTGTTTAGAATAATCTAATAACTAGAATGTGTCCAAAAATATGTACAAAGAATGGGGGACACAACCTTTATTTCGGCTGAATTTGTAAACAGCGATGAACAGAAGATAGATTGAGATAGATAGATTAACATAGTTGGAAGGGACCTTGTAGGTCATCTAGTCCAACCCCCCCACCCAAGCAGGAGACCTTACACCATTTCTGACAGATGACAGTCCAATCTCTTGAAAGCTTCCAGTGATGAAGCTCCCACAACTTCTGAATGCAAGCTGTTCCATTGGTTGATTGTTCTCACTGTCAGAAAATTTCTCCTTATTTCCATGTTGAATCTCTCCTTGTTCAGTTTCCATCCATTACTCCTTGTCTGGCCTTCAGGTGCTTTGGAAAATAGTTTGACCCCTTCCTCTCTGTGGCAGCCCCTCAAATATTGGAACACTGCTATCATGTCTCCCTTGGTCCTTCTCTTCACTAGACTAGTCATGCCCAGCTCCTGTAACTGTTCATTGTATGTTTTAGTCTCCAGTCCCCTAATCATCCTGGTTGTTCTTCTCTGCACTCTTTCTCGAGTCTTAACATATTTTTTATGGTCAGAAATCAAAACTGGATGCAGAACTTGAATGAGACATTTGAAGAAACAAAATTGATTGCACCACCAATCCCTACAATAGCAAGTTGAAATACTGAATAAAATTGAAATATTCTTTAGTGTTTTGCAAAAGCCATACAGGAGCTCAAGGCATAAAGTAAAGGAGGAAGACCAAGTGAAGTACAGTGACCAAAAGGTCTTGTAAGCTGCTGTTACATCTGAAAAAGAATGTGAAAAAATATAATACATTTTTAGCAAATGGATAGTATTGTTTTGGACCTTGCCAGTTTACATCTGTTCATTTATAAGTATTCACTCCGTTCTTGTGTTTTGCATTTTTGCAACATGAAAATGAGAGTATCTAATGCAAGTTTTGGAGATAGATTGTACTATTCCTGTCCAGACCAGCTTTGCATCTGTTCGTTTATAAGCATTCAATCTGGTTGTTGTTTTGCGTTTGTGTGTGTGTGTGTGTGTGTATGTCTCTGTGTATGTCTGTGTGTTTGCATTAATGTACAATTGAAGAAGCAAACCAAAATGCCAAGCACAAAACGGTGTTTATAAAGAAATATTGAAATTACAAAATTTTAAAGATGTTTTGTTACAAAATTCCCATTTCAAAATGCAATTTAATTTCTAATCATCTGTAAGAGATATCTGGCCTTAAAACTGTGTTTTAAATCTATAACTGGGTATGCTTTGGAGTGAAAAACTGCACTACAAATTCTGAGACACACAATAGCTGAAGAATAAGCACACTGTGATCCACACCCCACTTAGAAAGATGCAGACACCCTTGTGTTTCCTCAGAGCACCTGACAGCAACATGACATGTGGTCTTAAAAGAGTTGCTTCCTTAAAATTAAATGCATAGTTGGCAGAAATTCAGGTCTTTTGAAATCTAATTCAATTGCAGATCCTGAGAATTTTTTTTTTGTTAAAGTCACATTCTGTTGGAATATCTTTGTTGTGTTCCTCACAAACTTTCATTTTAGTCTTTGATTTGACAAGAGACCTCAGAGCTTCGCAGTGGCTCAGGACCGAGTCAGGTGGGCTGGATTATTCAGGAAACTGACGAAAGTATATATGTAAATGGTGTGTACACAGTGAATCTGTGTATTCTGCAAGCTCTAGCTGTATTCTCACTTATCAGCACTCTGACAAAACAACATGTGTTCCTGCACACCACATAGACAGAGCTCACGTATTTAAAGAAGGGGGAAGTCAGATATTAAATGCCTATCTATTCTTCCCAAACAGCTTACCCAGGGGAGGGCTTCAAAAAAGTTAGCAAAGAGTTCTCTGCCCAATTGCTAAGTAGGAGTGGCCATGGTGGGTGTGGCCTATTCAGCCTCCTGCACCACAATGGGGGAGGGCGTTTTTGCTCTCCCTGGGCTCTGGAGGCATTCCTCAAGCCTCTGGGGGGGGGTGAAAATGGCCTCCCGGACTCTGGAGGCTCTCTGGAACCTGGAAACAGGACCATTTCTGGCCTTCCCGAACTTCTGGGAGGCCCATTTTTTGCCCTCCCCAAGCCTCTGCATGCACCCTGCACTTACCTGCATCCAAAACGGGCCGCGGGGGGACTCCTGGGAGGGGAAGGGCAGGGTGGGCAGGGCCAGCCAGGAGTAGGATTTGGGAGTTCTCCAAACTGCACAGAATCTTAGCTAGAGGTTCTCCCGAACCTCTGTTAACCCCCAGCAGCCCAGCCCTGAGCTTATTACCCCCCCTCTCTCTCCTTTCTCCTTTCATTCTTTGAACATTTAACATTTATAAGTAACAATACAGCAGAGAATTCAGCATAAAGTCCTAATCTCAAGGATTGAAGCCTTTCTCATATTATAAAATAATTTGATGTGTTTTGCAACTGCTTATTAATGTAATACACAGCATTAAGGGTATAATTTAAGCAACTTTTCAAAATCTTATTTGACACATATATACCTTTGCCTCACCTTTAAAGAATTAACTTACTTAAGTTGTCACCTGCTGACCATTTCTAGTTTATATAATATACCACTTATACTTAGTTTTGTCTGTATTTTATAATGTATTATCCACATTTTATAATGCAATAAAACAATGCATTTGGGAAAAATACATTTGGCACCCTCTGTTGGTGTCACTGTTGAACACAAATGATCTTCACCCTATTTACAGGAAAGAAATTTCACTGAATTCCTGGGGAAGAAAATTATTATTATTTCTCTTGGAACAGGAGTCTGCATTAGCTGAAATGGCCAGACAGTATCTTTCTCTTTTGATTATTAATATTATTAATCATCACACAGTCAGCCAGATGTTCAGACTGGAGTTGGCATTTTTGTCTACCTATTGAATCCTTACTAAGGACTTGGGATAGGCAAATCTAGATGTTTGATGGTATTACAGATATCGTTGCAGGCTGGAAGCTGTTCCCAGTAAAGCTGCCTTCTGCAATTGACTGATGACAAATTTGTCAATGCCGATGGTGTTCAAGTGATGCTCCAGTTGTTTTGGGATTGCACCCAAAGCGCCTATTACTATTGGTACTACCCTTGCTTGCCTTTGCCACAATCGTTCTATTTCTATGATTATGATTATTATAGATTTAATCTTCAATTTGATTTACAGTTTGGGATTGGTAAAAATGTAACAGTTCAAGTTCTAACCAAGTACCTAAAAGCTGCTAAGGTAAGCATCTGAATATACAGGGAGTTCCAAGTAGGATGGGGTTTTTTGCAAAGTCAGAACATTCAAGTCTAATAAGTAAAAAATTTCTTTGTATCTAGACAGCCCTTTGGATTTTGTTCAAGGGCTCCTTTTACTACAAGCATTGATTTCTTCCTCATTCACTCAACTTCAGTTTGCAAATTGCAATATTTCATTATTTTTTCTAGCTGTTTCTTTTCAATTCATGTAGCACCTGGTACTGTAATATCAATGAACCAGACTTTTTTCCATTCCACAACAGTGATATCAGGTGTCTTGTGGGCCAGATATCTGTCTGGATCCAAAAGTCCCACAGGATCTTGACTTTCTCATTTTCATGGACTTTGTCAATTTGCTGTTCCCAGTAATTTTTGCTGCTTTTGAACCCAAACTTCTGGCAAAGCTTCCAATGTACAATTTCGGCAACTCAGTCGTGATATTGTAAATAATCAGCCTATGGGATTTTGTGGCAGCCACTGATAAGATGATCCACTGTTTCATCTTTCTCACTCCATAAGGCATTTGCTGTTGTTACTGATGTGTTGAATTTTTGCTTTCATGGAATTATTATTAATGTTATTGTGCTGCTATTGCATGAGTATAATAGTGTTGCCAACCTGGATACTATTTTGCATGATCTGCAATGATCGTGGCATGTAGAATTATTTAGAAATTTGGGGGGAGTATGTTTTTAATTAGATGGAAAATATTTGGGGTGGGGGGAAATAAAGCTTTTTTTTTTTTTTACAAAGATGATAAAAAGAAAGAAAACCTCTCTCCCCTGCTAACACCTTTTAGGGGAAA